TGCGCGGCCCGCGCCGGGAGGGGGACGCGCCCGGACGTTGAGGGGGCGGGGCCAGCGGGCGATTGGAAGGGGCAGAGCCCACGCGCGGGAAAGGTGGGCGGGACGAGCCGCGGGCCTCTGGGTGGTGGGTTGTGTTTGTGGGTGGTGGCGTTTCCACCCGCGCCTGCGCAGACGCCGCCGAGCCGCCCGCGGGCCAGCTTCTCGCTCCACCCCTTTCCTGCGGGCGCTCTCCCGCCCGAGCCCACTCTCTCCGCCAATCAGCCCTCTGCCAACTCTCTCGGCCAATCGGGACGCGCTGCGCCCGAGGAGCTGCGGGGATTGGCTGCGGCCGGGGGAAGGGCTGGGATTCCATTTGGCGTTGGAGCTGCCCTAAAGAATCCAGCTGGAACCGGTCGGAGGCCACGCCGCCGGGGCTGCGGGCTGGTGTTTGAGGGGCTGCTGGGAAGGATTGTGGTGGGCGTCTTGCAACGGGTCTGCCCCTTTTCCTAATTGCACATAAGACTAGGCCACCGCCCTGGCCCGCTGTGCTCAGTGGGGTGAGCTCGGTCCCATGCACCAAAAGGCACGGTTGGATACCTGGCCAGGGCACAGGTCCAGGTTGCGGGTTCGAACCCCAGTAGGGTGCATGCAGGAAGCAGCCTATGGATGTTTCTCTCCCTCTCCCTTCCTCTCTCTAAAATCAATTTAAGAAAATCTTAATCACATAAATGTAGACCTGTTCATTATTGCTCATAGGACTAGACCTTCTTTATTATTCATTCAACCAACACTTGTTGCATGGCTGATACTTACAAGGCTGGTGTAGGGGCTGAGGAGACCTTCCCAGGACCAGCTGCATAATTTGCAGGGCCTAGTGCACACGGAAAATGCAAAGCCCCTTTCTTAGAATTGGTTCGGCATTGAAAGAGAGCAGTAAGCTAAGCGCTGAGCCCATCTAAGCACAGGGCCCTGTCGCAGTCCCTGCTGACCACCGAACAAAAAGCTTAGCTCAGAGGAAGAAAGAGGTGGGCAGCCTTTGAGACAGTTAGTGGGTAGAGGAGGCTGGCCAAGTGCAGCCTTTCCAGATAAGGTTGGAAAAGTAGGACGAGACCAAAGGGTTAAGGATATTAGCAATTTGGACTTTATTCTATGTATAGGTAGGGTTAGCCTTTGAAGGCTTTTACCTGGACAGTGGGTCCTGAAAGCAATGTTTGATGACTATTGATCTGGCGTTGGAATGTTGAGCACATCGGAGGGCAAGGGGAAGGAGGGAGAAATGGGTGCTGTTGGCAACAGTTGCTCTTGGACCAGGGCTGGGGAAGCAGTTATGGAAATGGAGGAAAATGCTCCTGTTATAAGAGGAGACTCAATGGCAGTGCACACCCTAGTGTTTATCCATCCTGCTGCTTAGATCCACTTGGTCTGGCACCCTCTTTGATCCTCCGCAGTCCTAGCACTATCAGTGACTGGCTTTTGGACTTTGGGCAGGTTACTTCATCTTTCCTGGCTCCAGGTTCCTCGCCTGTAAATGAGGGAGCTGGACTGCAGTGATGCCAAGGTTCTGTCAAGCCCAACATGGTTCTGAATCTGTGACCCTTACTTTTCACCTAGCTGCTAGCACCTACCACCTACGACCAACCTAGCACCTACCACCAACATTCATTCATGGGTTCGCTGAATATTTCCCGAGTCCCTACTGTGTGGCAGGTCGTATATTAAGCTGGGAAATACACCATGGAGTCTGACAGATGTCTACTTTCAGTAGTCGCTGATCCTTTCTGGCCAGGAACTTTGCCTTACAGCAGCTGCTAATGGTGACCTATAGAAGAAACTTAAGCATAGCTTTTAATTTCTGTGGAATGTTATAACGTGAACATCCTCAAGGTCCTTGCTAATTTTTGCTGTTCTAACACTTTGTAACTCCTTAGATATTAGGAAAGAAGAAAAGGAAGAAGTCACATAATACAGGTTTGAAGCTTAGATGTAGGGTGGCGTGTCAATGATCCACTTGACTGAAAAATGAATCCAGAAAACCAGTTTGGGATCAAAGTCTTTGAGTTTGGTCTTGTATATGTGAAATTTCAGACCTCTTTCCTTTCCATTTCACAGATAAGATCTCAAATTTTTGGATCTCCCCATTTCCACATACAAACTTACCCACATTGACATCTTCTCAGTTAGGGTAGCCCTTTGTTCTCTGGTATCTTTGGACCCCATCCCTCCTGCTTTCTCAAATTCTCACTCTACTGGATTTTCCTCTTCATTATTTAAACATGCTCATATCTATAACATCTTGATATTTTTTCCAGCCCTTAAATGACTTGGTCTTTATGCAACATTTGAAATGCTTATCATTTACTCTTGAGATTTTTTACTTTGGCTTCCAGCAAACCAGTCTCTAATGGTGTTCCTCCCATCGCTCTGTCCCCTTTTGGGTTCTTCCTAAGCTTGTCTTCAGGATCTATCCTTCCCTTCCCTTCCCTTCTCTCTCTCTCTCCACTCTTCTGCATGAGTTCATCCAGTATTGTGTAATGAAAAGAGCTTGGACTTTGGATTTAAAGACCTTGGTTCAAACCCCAGCTTCACCATTTATTAGCTTTGTCAACCTGGGACTAGTTCTGTAACCTTTCTTATTCTACTTTTTCATTTATAAAATACTAGAGGTCCAGTGCACGAATTCATGCACCAGTGGGGTCTCTTGGCCTGGCTTGTGGGATTGGGCTGAAACTGGCTCTCCGACATCCCAAGGGGTCCTGGATTGCAAGAGGGTGCAGGCCAGGCCTAGGGACCCCACTGGTGTAGGAATGGGGCTGGGGAGGTATGCAGGAAGTTGGCTAGCCAGGGAGGGACCATGGGAAGGCTTCAGGGCATGTCTGGCCTGTCTCAGTCCCGAGCAGTCGGACCCTAGCAGCAAGCTAACCTACTGGTTGGAGCATCTGCCCCCTGGTGGTCAGTGCACGTCATAGCAACTGGTCGACCAGTCAACTGTCTGCCCCCTAGTGGTCAGTGCATGTAGTAGTGAGCGTTTGAGCAGCTTTAGCATATCATTAGCATATTACACTTTGATTGGTTGAACAGATGACCAGACACTTCGCATATTAGGCTTTTATTATATAGGATATTAGCTACCTTGTAAAGTTGTAAATATATGTACAAATGCCTAAACATGTGCCCATTATAACGTATACACTTGGCAAATATTAGCCCCTTTCCCCTTACATGACTTTAGCTACTACCAGCATCTTTAGCCCAGACTGCCTCATGAGCTTCAGATCCTTTTTTCTAACTTTCTGTTGAGACTTACACATACAACACGTCAGTGGAGAGCAAATTATATTTGGTCGCCTTGTATGGGCCAGGCACCCTACTAGGGTAAATAAAATGGTAAATAAAAGGTATCTCACTCCCCCGCACCCGCAAGGGGCATAAAGTTTATACACAGAATTCTACAAGAATCTGGAAGGTCTTAACTCAGCCTAAGAGGAGTTAGGGAAAGCTTTCTGGAAATGTCTTGAGCCAAGCCTTAAAGAATGGGTTAGTATTCGCGAGAATGAGCAAGGGTGAGGAAGAAATTCCATAAAGGTACGGAGCAATGAAACACCAGCTCTGAGTCCCTAGAGAAGGAGACAGAAACAGTGGGAGGGGAGCTAGAGAGGTAGACAGGGAGAAAGACATCGAAAGTATTACATCCATGCTTAGGAACTTGGCTCTTATCCCATACATGCTGGGAAGCCACCAAAAGGAGAAAATGATATGCTTTGCAAAGATTATGATCAGGAATTTCTTGGAAGAAACACAAGCAGGGAATAAATATCTGAAAGATACTGAACCTTATTAGAAATTAGAAAAATACAAATTAATGTAATAGGGAAATAGCCTTTTATGTCCACTAAATTGGCAAAAATTAAGAAGTCCTGGTAAACTTCTAATTTTTGAAAACTATTATACACCAAGTCTTCATTAGGCTAAACATTTACCAGGTATTACAATAACTCCTCCATCCAATGTCATAGTTGTCAAATATCAACACGTGTTCCGAAATCATTTTGGAATTGTAACTCTTATTCCCTGGTTATACACTGAATGTTTATGTTCTCAAGAAATTTATATGTTGAAGCTCTACCCCTTCCACCCCCCGATATGATAGGATTTGGAGATGGGGCTTTGGGAGGTAATTAGGGTTAGATGAGGGCATGGGTGGGGGGGAGCCTGATCTGATGAGATTATAGAAGAGACCCCAGAGACCTCTCTCTCTCTCTCTCTCTCTCTCTCTCTCTCTCTCTCTCTCTCTCCCCCATGCTCCCACAAGAGGAGATCACGGGAGCACACAGTGAGATGGTGGCCCCCTACAAGCCAAGAGAAGAGGCCGCAGAATGAACCCACCCTGCCAGCCTCCAGAACTGTGAGAAGTAATGAAGCCACCCAGTGTGTGGTATTTTGTTATGGCAGACGGAGCAGACTAAGATGCCGCTAACGGGAATCGTTTAGGGGTCACAATCTGAAGTCAATTTTAAGCCAAGGGATGATCAAACTGGACTGGAAAATGAAATATGGCTCTAAGTACTGAGACTAATTTTCTTGTGTGACACATTAAGTGTCTCTGAAACAAAAATCGAAAGAGGGGCATCAAAACTCGCATGATTGTTGAAATTACTGTTGAATTTTTGAGAAAAATTTCATTTGGCTATCTGTGATATATTTGTTTTAAAAAGGTCTCTATACAGCCACACCCACTCAAATAGTAATGACAATTTAATTACATAAATAAAGCAAAGGATGAGTTAAATTATTTCAGTTTTTGTATACTTACTGTTTTGATACATAGGTAATGTATGTTATACATTCCTTCAACAATTATTGGAGGCTGGCTGTCAGTCAAGAATATACAGTGGATACGCGTCTAAGAACAAATACTCTCTTTAAAGGAATACATGAGTACATAATCTTACAGTATTAGGAAGTCCAAAGGCTAAATGAAAATACACGTGTCTCAGAAGAAAAACATGTTTTAATGAAATGTTATGCAGTTAGAGTGGTTTTCAAAGAAATGACTGGAAATATTATAAAATATTTGTTTTATGGCCACACAATGCATGACTGAAAAAATAAAGATTTTACTTAGCTATTTATCAAATCCAGCAATTTATCATTTTAACTAGTATATCCATCAATGTGATGAATAGTCCAAATTAGTTATCAAATCCTATTCTAAGTTAACTTCTCCAAAAATGACAAATTTTGAACTTCCAAAGTCTATGTATTTCTTAAATTCTGTCATTTTCTCCACAATAATCAAAATGTAAAACCTCAGAATTACCAGACTACATAAGAGAAAAACTTCAATTGCAACAAATTATATTTCATGAACTTTTCTATTAAAACTCTTCAAGGGATGAATAGGATCTTCTCGTGTAGTGAGGATGGCTTAGTATTTTCAGTTGGTGACCAATCTTTGTGTAGATGTCGTCATGTTATAGTAGGTGGCACTCATGAACAGGCCACTGACTGTCGGTGGGTCCACCTAGAAGGATCTGTGACATAAATTTAAAATATTTTATTACACAATGTTAGATTCAGATTAGAATTCAATTGAACAGGAATATTCATGAATATGCTTACTGGTGAGGAAATGAAATATAGAAACCTTATATTTGTTTAAGTATCATTTGGAAATGTTGCTTAATGTTAAACATGACATTTTCAAATAATTAAACTCTTCCTGAAATCATGAGCAACAGTGTTTCAAATATTAGACTTTTTATCACTTTCATAACATTTTAGCATTTGTATGCTACACCTCTTGGGGAAGGTACTAAGTGAAAGGAGGAAAGGAGAAGGCAGGGGTTCATATTATTGGCATTATTTCCATTGTTTCTCATCTTATCTAAAAATAGTTGCATATTAAAAACGATAGATTCTATAAACAGGTTATTTGTTGATGAAACTTTTGCAATTTAATCCTTTCAAGTTAACATTTTAGTGGCTACCAACTCATTTTCTAATAGACCCCATTTTATTGTTGACAATATAAACTTCATAATATAAAAGATAGAAATTTTATACATTTTATACATTTCAAAGAATAATAAGCCATCTGTTTAACAATAACAAGAGAAATCATATTCACTCAGTTCTCTGAATCACTGGGTCAAGCAATTTCTGATGCTGATCTGCATATTTGTCTTGATTACATTTTTAGTATTAGGCAAAGGAAGATATTTCATTGAGTTCTGCACATGATGGATTATTAAATTATGTATGACTAAAGTAGCTTTAAGATTTAAAATGATTAAAAGTTGGACAATTGTTTATCTTTGTAAAAGTATATCCCTCAGTCCTCTGTAGAGCAGAATTCAAGGCTAAATGAAACTATTACTGAAAATATTTGGCTGACTTTATTAGATACTCACATCTATATAACAAATCTCATTGTTTCCTTGACAATGGTTTTCTCCAAAAATAATGATGAACTTTAATTTTACACCCACACATCAGGATGAACACCTAAAAGTCTGTTTCCTACTGGTTCCACTTCCACCTCGCTCAAGTCATGAATCCTGACACAATAAAAGAAAGAATTCAGCCCTAGCTGGTTGGGCTCAGTGGATAGAGCGTTGGCTTGAGGACTGAGGGGTCCCAAGTTTGATGCTGGTCAAGGGCACGTTCCCAGGTTGTGGGCTTGATCCCCAGTGGGGGGCATGCAGGAGGCAGCCAGTCAATGATTCTCTCTCATCATTGATGTTTCTGTCTCTCTCTCTCCCTTCCTCTCTGAAATCAATTTTAAAAAAAGAAAAGAAATAATTCATTTCACACCAGGCAAAGAAAGTCTTCGAAAATAAAGCAGTCAGATTCCAAAAAGGAAATAAAGAGGGTTGTTGATGTTTGCAGCCAGATTTGCCTGGTGGCTCCACTACAAGTATTTATAATTTCTCCTATTTATGGCCAATAATAGGAGAATGAGAGCAAGTGAAGAGAAATGTGGATAAATGGTTAGTTTCAGGGCAGCCATTAATACTTTAAATTGTAAAAATGGTCTTTTATACCATTTATATGTAAACTAGAGGCCCTGTGCACAAATTCGTGCACAGGTGGGGTCCGGCTGGCCCGCCCCAATCAGGGCCAATCAGGCCAGGCTGGCCAGGGGGATGGGCTGCGGGCGGTTGGCAGGCCCTGCCCCTGGTCGAACTCCTGCTTGAACTCCCTGTGGAGGGGACAATTTGCATATTAGCCTTTTATTACATAGGATGATATGCAGCATCATGATGAGGCTGACTTGGGTAAAATCCCAATGAAGGCCCATTTAGAAGACAGATTTTTAAACCCACTCCCTGGTCCAAACAGCAAGGGCTCTCATGTCGACCCACTGTACACAAATCAGTAAGTTCCACTTTTTAAAAATTGGCTTCATACATTAGGATTGTGCTTAAGGTTCCTTTCTCAAACCGCTGACCTACCAGAAGGTAAGTCCTTTACCTGATCTATTTTTAGTGCCTTGGGTGAAACCATCCTCATCCTCATCACAGCTGTCGCAGTTTAGTTGTGGGAGGGCTGCTTCTGCCTGGCTGTCAGCCTGATTGATGTCTTTCTGCTTCTCGAAGCTTCGAAGAGCAACAAGACGGTGATGTATGGCTGCATACAGCGATTCTGTGTCTTTGGCAGTGGCCTGCATGGGGAAAATTCTGGGGTTAAGAATAGAAATAATAATAGCCACATTTTAAGGATTTTTAATCTTTCACTGTTAACAAGGAAGGAACTACATGGCATAAATCTAGAATGTAAACAACCCTCACCACTAAAGGGTAAAAAGTCCATTTATCTTGAACCAAACTGAATCCTAAGGCAGATAGTTTTGTAAGAGGTCCCAATTTGTGCATTTTACATGGAGAAAATGAAATTTTGTGATTGGAAATTTCTATTTGAATTTAACTTTGTAAAGACCATCCTTCCTCCACGATTTTACCCTGTAGAAAACTGTAGAATTGGGGGGGGGGGAGAGGAGGGGAGACTCCATTTCCTTTACATCACTTTGCGTGGACATGCCCTGCAAGCTTACTAAAGACAGTACTTGTTTTCGGGACTTTTTGCCCATCAGAAGTACTTGTTTTCGGGACTTTTCTGTGCTATTTTTATGGTTGCTACAAATATCAAAAGGATAGTAACAATACCATTTGTATAACAGTCATTGTTATTCTATTGTTACCCATTTTTTACAATAAAACTGTGGTTATTTATCCATTAATATTAACAAAGCACATAGCACAGGTATTCAACATACTCTTTTTTCCCTCTCCCTTTTTAAAAAAATATATTTTATTGATTTTTTACAGAGAGGAAAGGAGAGGGATAGAGAGTCAGAAACATCGATGAGAGAGAAACATCGATCAGCTGCCTCCTGCACACCCCCACTGGGATGTGCCCGCAACCAAGGTACATGCCCTTGACCGGAATCGAACCCGGGACCCTTCAGTCCGCAGGCCGACGCTCTATCCACTGAGCCAAACCGGTTAGGGCTCCCTCTCCCTTTTATAGGTGAAGAGAGGACGGCTCAGAAAGGTGCAATGACTAATCTGACTTTACACAGCTAGTTGGCAAATTGCCCGGCACTTGAACCCCAGGTTTCTGTCACCTAACTCAATGTTCTTTAAGGTAACATGGCAGTAGTTTGTACGTTTGTATCTTTTCACAATTTCAAAGAAAATCTGGGACATTTTTTCTCTTTGCTAACCTTCCAGAGAGTTACCAAACATTTTAAAACTGAGAACTGAGGGTTGAACCAACTATATGCCAACTCTTGGGAGAAGGGTTTTAAAGTTTTTTTTTAATATGCATGTATTTAAGTTGCCTTAAATACTTGTGGGTGGAAAAATTTAAATATAAATGCAATAAAATATTTTTGTTTCTCATATTGTATTTGATATTACAGAGTAGTTGTTGAATAAATACTTGTTGACTTGACTAATTTAATTTTTTATATTGTGTGCAAAGGTGTAATTTTCTTTAGTAAGCTAATTACTAACAAGTATTGAGAGTATTTGTAATTGAAATATAAATGCTATTCTGCTTCCTTGACTTTCTTACATTAAATTTGTAATGCCGTTCACTAGCCAATATGTCTATTTCCTTTGGACAAATTCATTCAGATGTTTTCATTTAAGAAATTCCGAAGTTAAAATAATATGATATATTTTTGAATAACAAATTTGCAATGCTTAAAAAAATTATAACTCTGAGGAAGTACCATAAAAAAATGCTGGTGAGAATGAAAACTGGTTCAGTCTTTCTGGAGAGAAATTTGTCAAGACAAGTCAAAACCTGTTCCCAAGAAAATTAACATGTATGTACACAGAGAGTTTCCTGCAGCCTCCTTAAAGAATCCCATATAATAAAAGAGAAACATGCAAATTAACCATCCCTCCGCTACACTCAAGCCATGTCCACCACCCAATCAGGAGTAAATTAACCCAACTAAGATGGCGGTCGCCATGGAGCTGGAGCAAGCAGAAAGCAGGAGGCTTGGGTTGCCAATGAAAGAAGCTAAGCTTCCTGCCTGCCCTGGCCGGCCCTGAGCTCCGCTCAAGGCTACAAAGTTTCAATTATAGAAGATAAATAAATCCCAGAAAAAAAAAGAAAAAAAGGAGAGGCTGGGGTCACCGGGGGGCATGGCCAGCCTGAAAACGGCCATCAGCCCCTCACCCAGGCTGTCCAGGCACCCCAGTGGGACTCCCCCACCCTGAAGGGGCTGTGGGCAGCCTGAAAATGGCCCTCAGCTCCTCACCCCAGCTGGCCACACCCCCATGGGGTGAGGGTCCCCACTGGGGGGCTTGACCAGCCTGCAAACAGCCCTCAGCCCCTCACCCAGGCTGGCCAGGCACCCAGCAGGACCCCCACCCTGAAGGGGGTGTAGCCAGCCTGAAAACGGCCCTCAGCCCCTCACCCAGGCTGGCCAGGCACCCCAGCGGGACCCCTACCCTGATCCAGGACACCCTTCAGGGCAAACCAGCCGGCTCCCACCCATGCACCAGGCCTCTATCCTATATAATAAAAGGGTAATATGTAAATTGACCCTAACAGCAGAATGACTGGGAATGACTGGTCATTATGACACACACTGACCACCAGGGGGCAGACGCTTAATGCAGGAGCTGCCCTCTGGTGGTCAGTGCACTCCCACAGGGGGAGCTCTGCTCAGCCACAAGCCAGGCTGACAGCTGCCAGCACAGCGGTGGTGGCGGGAGCCTCTCCTGCCTCCTCAGCAGCGCTAAGGATGTCCGACTGCAACTTAGGCCTGCTCCCCGCTGGCAAGTGGACATCTCCTGAGGGCTCCCGGGCTGCCAGAGGGATGTCTGACTGCCAGCTTATGCCTGATCCCTTGGGGAGCGGGCCTAAGCCAGCAGGTGGACATCCCCCGAGTGGTCCCAGACTGCAAGAGGGCACAGGCCGGGCTGAGGGATCCCCCCCTGAGTGCACAAATTTTTGTGCACCAGGCCTCTAGTTTATAATAATGAAACAGTAAATTACCTAAGTATTTTTTTTACCTAAGTATTTAACAAAGTGGAATTAATGGAATAAACTATGATGCACAATACAATAGAATTCTTTTCACCTGTTAAAATAATTTTTGAAGAATGAACTATTTAATGTCACAAAAACACTCATTTTCATTGGTAAGTGAAAACAAGGTTACATGTATATATTTTACAATCAAATATTAGCTATCTAATCTTCTCAACCACTTTATGAAGTATATTATTCTCTTCATTTATCAGGTGAGTAAAATCAGGTTAATGGAGGCTAGATAACTTGCCTGAAGGTCATACAGTATGTACAGTATGGCACATATGTATTATATATGCGTGCACATATGTTTATATATTAAAATACAGGGTAAGACCAAACTATGAATTGTGACCATTTCTGGGAGTGGAATTTGGAGTGATTTTTATTTGCATTTTGTTTGCATCTCTCTAAAAAAAATCCTACAATTTTAAAAGACAGCATGAGTCCAGTGTTGAGCAGCAGAATCCAATCCTAGTTGACAGTCTCAGGCAGGCTGCTTGGCCATTCAAAGCCAGTGACCTGGCCTGGCAGAGTGTCACCTCCCTCCATGGTGAACAGGGGCGGGCATCATCTTACTCTAGTATCTTAATACTCTCCATCACTTACAGCTAACATTGTACTTACTGTTAATTAATAAAACCTTTGGTTTTTCATCAGTGGCCACTTGCCAACTTCTTTTCCATTGGTCTGTGAAGGCCACGCCACTTGTACTGCTGCTTCTGCCTGAGTCACCTGGGTCCTCAGTTTTCTCCCGGGTCTCAGCCCACAGGGGAGACCCAGCCTTTGTTCTGACCTGATTCCTGCCCGCTCTCTCTTGTGCCTGGATATCGTCTATTTAAGGTCAAGCATTCCTTTTGCAGGAAAACAGCTGAAGCTGTGCTCCCATCCTGTTACCTTGGAGACTGACTCATGTCCAGAACTGGAATTTGCTGCTGGACTGGCTAACTCGCTAGCCCTGTGTTTTTCCATTTCTCACTTATTCCTTTCCCGTGATCTCAAAGCCTTCTCCATCTCAGCATTCAGTATGAGCATCAGGCTGTGGATTTTGCTAGCTTCTTGACAATAGTCCCTTTGGTAACTTATTAAGATTGTTGAGGTAATTTCAATAGTGAAGAAAAATGTAGATGTTCGATGGCTTATATCAATAAAAATGTCTTGGGACAGGTACCAGTTGATTACTCTAGATTTAGGTGTTAATTTCTAAATTTCATGTAAAATGTAGGTCTTATATTAGACTGCAAACAACCAAAGTGAATGGCTGATTTTTTGCCAATGGCACAGGTTATCACAGTAAAATAAAAAAAAATGAAAAAACAAAACAAGACAAAAACAAACACCAACACAAATGAGTAATTGCAGAGATCTATAAATATAGCAGGGTGGGTAATCCTCTATCACTGAAATTTATTACTTACCTGAATTAAAAACACTTTGATGCTGTAGTCTTCTAAATCAGTAGCTGTTACTCGTAAATTTCGGGGGTTCGCTCTTTGAATCTCCATTTGAGTCCAGAGTTTGCTGTTGAGAATCAGCCTCAGGCTGCCTTGATTGCGCATAACTAAAACGGGAAGGTGATACATCAGACCACAGAAGAGCGGATTTCTTACCCTTCCAGGGGAATTCCCCATTTGAAAGCAAAGTAAATCTTGTACTGATTTTTCAGGTTGTATTTTCACTATTAAGTTTGACTAGATTATAACTTGGTTTTCAAATTGGACTTTATTATGTTAAAGAATTTTTTAAATTTATTTTTTGGTTAAAATGCTGGAATTATATATTGTTACTATAATATTAAAAATGATTAAAATTTTAGAAATCCTTTGGGGACCTACTGTTCTTAAGAATTTACCCAAAAATTGTTTAAAATAGAGAAAATTGAAATGGAATTTAAAAAATAGAATGAGTTAAATAAATGATGGTACAGCTAGTCAAGGTATTATGAACCCATTAAGAAAACTGAAGAGGCCCAGCTGGCATCGACCTATTGAACCAGGAGGTCACAGTTTGATTCACATGCCCGGGTTGCAGGATCCATCCCCAGTAGAGCATGCAGGAGGCAGCCAATCAATGATTCTCTCTCATCATTGATGTTTCTATCTCTCTTTTCCTCTCCTTCCTCTCTGAAATATATTCTTCCTCTCTGGAGAAAAGAGAATTATTGATGTAGAAAAGTGATCTTGGTATATACTTTGTAAACAAGAAGAAATCCAATTGCGAAGCAATATAAACACCATGAAACACATCTTTTTCAATATATGTATACCTTTATGTAGATAGAGAACAAAGTCTAGAAGAATATGTATTGTAAACAGAAGCTATTACAGGAAGATAGACCTATGAGTGATTTTTTTCTTTCTGTTGATCCATATTTTCTGTCTTCTATAATGAACTTGTATGTCCTGTATAATTTTTTTTTTAAAAAAAGAGTTGTTTTGTGGCTCTTTGGCAGGCGGTGGAAGGAGTGAAATTAAACCAAAGTAGAAAAACAACCAGTACCTGCCTTGGGAATAATACTTAGAAACCTGTTTGCCAATTACAGAACTGAAGACACTGTTTCTATTCTCTTAGTCTGAATTCTATTCCGTACCCATTTGTTGAGCTTGATATCTGAAACTCAACAAACATGCATACACTTAGATCCAACTTCTGTCCGTGGTCTTCTCCTCCACAGCTCTCTCACTGGCTAGTATTGGCCAGCCAACCAAACCTATCCCCCACCCAGATCTCGGCGTGGGCTCACGTTAAGTTTGGGCCTCTGAATGAGGGCCAATGTGCCTTTCGGATGTCTTTCAGTGTGACTGACTCCAGGTTCCAACCATCACTCTGCCTGCAGGATTCAATAACCACACACCTTTATTTCCTTGGAAACTGACCCTTCATCCCAACCCACACACCAGGCTATGAATGGCATTGTAAATTATAGGGCAAATATTCGTTTTTAGGAAAACTATTTTCACTTTTTAAATAATTTGTATCATATTTCTTTAAATAATAATGGGTTGCTGTTTAGGTATGTGGTGGGCTCCTTCATGGGTACTTTACATGCATTCTTATCTCACTGAATTCTCACAATCATTAAGTTATGGACTATTATTAAATTTTCACTTATTGATTTTGAGAGAGAGAGAGAGAGAATAAGAAACATCAATTTGTTATTCCACTTACTAGTATTTATTCATGCATTGGTTGCTTGTCCTCTGCGCCCCAACCAAGGATCAAACCTGCAACCTTGATGTATCGGGAGACCAGTCTTACCAACTGAGCTTCCTGGCCAGGGCCATTATCCCCATTTCAAAATGGTAACTGACTTGTCTAAGGTCACCAGGTAGTCAGAGGGGGAGCCAGAACGGGGACCAGCGTCCTCTGACATAAGGGCCTACTCTAACCAGGAAGCTCCTATGGCACATTGGAAACAACATTGTTTTCAACAGTCTGATTTCTTGACATTATGACACATCTCCAGACAATGGTTTGCACCTGTATTGGAAATTTCCCCCTGAGACATAGCATCCTGCGTTTCCAGCGGATCCCTTACTTAGTCTTGACTGGAAGGCCCCACGGTCACTGCCAGCTGTGTCATTCAGCCTCAGCGCTCCCCGGCCCCTTTCAGTCCAGGACGGGGTGGTTTTGTTGAACACAAAAAGCTTGCAGTTGATCTGAAGGGCAATATTTTAAAATGTCAAACATATAGAAAGTCTCTTCAAATCCTTCCCTATACTTTTATTTATTTGATCTTTTATCAGAATAACCTTTGTTAATGATTTACACATCAGTTTTAAAATATTATTTAAACTTAAATATTATTTAACTTTACGAATATACAAGTTTTGAATAGTTCAAACATCAAAAATCAAGAAGATGGGAGAAAAGGGAGGACTTATGTAATACTTTCAACAACAAATATTTTTTAAAAAGCAAGATGTACAAAGTGAGAAGTCCCTCCCCAAACCTAGTTTCCCATTTGTACTTTCTACCTCCTGTATCAGTAATCACTATTGCTAATATTAATTCTCCCATATATAAGTATATATATATATATATATATATATATATATATATATATGACAATACATATATATGTTCCCCCTTTTTTTTCCTGTAAATGGTAGAATAGCATACTCCTTTCTGTATCTTGCTTTTTCACTTAACAATACATGGTGTGGTAAAAGTAGGTTTACTGTTGTGAGTACATACATGAAATAGAGTTTATTCTTATATTATTACTTATTAATTATTGTATTATTTTCCATATGAACAACTGCAAACCTACTTTTGCCCCACCCTGTATATCTATATAAACACCAACTTTCAAATTAAACTTAATGCTATTTGAGCTGTGTAATTTATTTGAAGGTAAAGCAATCATGGAAATATTTGTATGCTTTAAATATTTTAAAGAATAGAGCATGAGAGCTAAGATGTGACACCAGAGTGCCCTACTGGAATTTAAAATACCAGTGGCTCTCAAATGTCACTGTGTTTGTGAGTCACCTGGATGACTTGTTGAAAATACAGCATCAGGGAAGGGTCTCACCTGTCACAATTACTTCCATAGTCTAGGGTTAATCTGATCCGAAGTTACGCTTGGAACACACTTGTATAGTAAACGTATTAGCAGATTGTGGGGGAGGAGAAGAGGAAAGGAGGAAGAGCAGATGTAGACAGACAAAGGGAAACCCGTGCCTTGTTGAGAAATGATCAAGCTGTAGTAATTACACTTCATATGCCTGGGCTGATACCTAGACCACTCCACATTCAAACCGATGGTGATACTGTAGACGCATCTGTGGAAGTTTTGATTTATATGAAATTCAGAACTTACAAACTTTCAAAAGGGAAACACAATTCTTTTACTCTCTAGAACTAAAATCAATTCATCTTATCAGCACTTTAAAACCTTCCGAGTAAGTTAAAATTTTAAATCCTATGATAATGGCACTGATTGTACAAGCAGGTTGAGCAGTGTACAGAGGTCAAAGTTATATTAAGAAAGTGTCCTGAGCTGTCTGCTTCCTAAGGGACTAATGTGAATGGCTATAAACCCAACAACCCATTTTTCCTGCAAGTTATAAGCACAAATGTAAGAATACACAAAATACTGGTTTAATTTTTGGAAGTGTCCAACATTTTTATTTAAGCAACTCCGTTTTCTTGAAAAGTATACTTCTGCCTTTAAAAAAAAAAACATGTCCCTGTTGATGATAACTTTATATCTGCAAGGGCTACCAGAAAGAGCAATATATGATATACAGACCTTTAACACATTATATTCCGCTTCTTCCCCTGTTATTACATCAATTTTCTTCAGCAAGCATTTTGGTGATGATTTGGAAGAGAGAGCAGCAGCTGATTCAATCAGGGACATATTTTTAATAGCGTCTGTTCCTAAGAGAAAATAGGGGGGAAAACACATAAAAGGCCCCATTTTTTCTAGTGTGAACGATCTCTGTTGCCCCTATTAAATACTAGTACATCTCTTCCACTTTTTTATAACAATGAGTGTTTCCAAAAAACCCAAGTTCTTCATGTTAAGTAAATCTCTTTAATGACTTGCCATGTATTAAGTCAAAAAATTTTAAAAGGCTTCTATATCATGTAACCATATGTATACACTTTATTCTTTACCAACAAATTTGAAAATACTGGACTATTGCTTTTGTATTTTGTAGATGTTAAACAAATGACATGGGAAAACAGGAAATAAACTAGTCAAACCAAATGTTTTACAAGTGAAACAATTCTTACTTGAGTTTGGAGAGTTGATAGGAAATTTTAGATTGTATTTGAATGGCTTTTCCTTGGCATAGGAGTCATTTTCAAGTTGAGGCTGGGTGAGTTTTTGCATACCCTAGGTGGGGGGAAAGATGCGTTACTTAATTTCACCCTCTTATGTTTGCAGTAAGCCAAAAGATATCTTTGTTCTTCTGTTTTAAACAAAACCAACTGCTGTGTTTTTGTTTGGGCTCCCTCTGTGCTGAACAGGAAGTTCCTCCCTCTCCTTGCAGGACCTTGGTCCTGGTCCCCAGGAAGCAGAGCCCAGTGACCACCAGCCTACTTGGGTGGGATCTGGTTCCAGGGACAATGTGAGAAGTTGTAGAGGCCCCAAAGGAGGTGACAGCTGTTCCATGGGATCGCCAGACTAACCTGATACCTACGAGGAGGTGCAATTATTATCTGTTTCAAGGTATTTCAGTATGCCCAGCAATTCGCTGTTCTATCCACAGCATTAAAACATCATCATAATAATGGTCCTGTCTGGGTGGCTCAGTCGTTCAATTTCTAGTCAGGGCACATACTTGGGTTGCAGGTTCAATCCCCTGTAGGGGCATGTATGGGAGGCAAACGATCAATGTTTCTCTCTCACATTGATGTGCCTCCCCTCCCTGCTCTACTCCTTCCTCTCTAAAATCAATGAACATATCCTGTGGTGAGGATTAAAAAATAAAAAATAAAAAATAAAATAATAATAATAATAAAATTATACAGAGAACCCACTGAGCTGTCTGTCTCAGAGATCATCTTCATAGAAACAATCTTTTTTAAAAAAAAATATATTTCTTTATTGATTTCAGAGAGGAAGGGAGAAGGAAAGAGAGATAGAAACAGCAATGATGAGAGAGAATCATTGATTGGCTGCCTCCTGCACACCCCCCACTGGGGATCGAGCTCACAACCCAGGCATGTGCCCTCGGCCGGAATTGAACCTGGGATTCTTCAGTCCGCAGGCTGACACTCTATCCACTGAGCTAAGCTGGCCAGGGCCATAGAAACAATCTTAATTTTCCTCCCATCAGCTTTTGCCAACAATGGGTCTTTGTACATGTGTTGTGATCAAGGCCTGTGTGAAAAGGACTGAGTAGTTCCCTACCATTTATGATCCTGTATAGCCCTCTGCAGAACAGGGAAAACTGGAATGATACTCAGGTTTATATCATTTCCCTTTTAAACTGTTCAAGGTTTGCTCACAATATTTAACTGGACATCAAGAATAGTCTGTTAAAATCGGTAGACACGAGTATATTTATTTCGAAGGGACAAAAACAAACAAACAAAAAAACTTAAGGCACAGAAAGCTTAATGGCTAACTCTAAGAGCACATGGTCAGCTAACCAGTCCGAAGGATATCCGGGCCCCCAAGTCACTAGGCCACGGGATTACAGGATTAACTGAAGACAAGTACAAGTTTGCTCTATTGCTCTTATCTGTAGGATGTTATCAATTTACAGAGAGAGGAAGCCCAGATTCTTTTGTAAACCAAGTGGGAAGTGCCCATAGGAAAGCACACAAGTGCCTCCTCCAAGTACATAGCAATCCTGATTAGGTCCTTTGTACAGGTATCTCTCTGTCTCCTGCAGTTTTCAAGCCTGGCTGTATATTAGAATCGCCTGACACCTGGCCTCAACCAAAAGACTCTGAAATGGTTGGTTTAGGGAGATGCCCAGGCATAAAAATACTGTGAAGGCTCACCAGATAGTTAGTAGGCAGGCAAACTGAAGACCGACACCAATGCTTTATGTATCATAAGAACACAATACCTTTGTTACATTGAGTTGAATGCTAATAAAATACCACCGAGGCCTATCTTAGCCAAGATTCTGGTCCGGGTCAAAAGTGGGAAGAGCATGAAGATGTGATGGACTAGATTACAGCACAGGCACACCTGCTCCATAGCATTCACGTTGCTGTATAATGCCCCCCCTCCCCTCCTCTCTCCTAGATGATGCTGTCTTAGAGACATCCCCTAAGGAGGGCAGAGCAACAAGTGCCTCACGCAGGATTCTCAATAGTGAATAAAGAGGGCAGTAATGACAGTTCCGGGTCTCCACTTGGCAAGTATATTTCCCCGGGCAAGTGATTTCCCCCTTAAAGCTAGATGCAAGTAAGTTACAGTAACACTTTTCAAAGTAAGACCTTGAAGGGAAAGGTTGTGGCTAATGAGAAAAAATTGGCAAACAATGTTAAAATCATCTTATTACCAAAAAAAAAATACTATTGAAAAACGATATTAAGATGTCATTACTAGTTGAGCTTATCTAACTATTGCAGGTAATTCTGGGATTTCCTTGGGTACCTTTGGGTTTACGCGAGTCAAGAACTATTTAATATTTCTCATCAGTAATAATGTTATAATTATACAATTCTCTTCCTCTGTGGGTTCCTGTCTATTATTCTAACAACCAAAACTAGCTTCCCAGGGGACTCTTCCCAGTTAAGAAAACGTGCCTTTGAACCCAGGAGTTAAAGAGTGTGCTCCAATGTAACATTGTTTTAATTAATTTGTCTTCAGAAATTTGAAGTGACAGCTCTCTACATAATAAGAGAAACATTTGCCAAAATCTTACCAAAACTCTTTCTACCATGTTTTCTCCAAAAACGAAGTCAGAACTGCAGCTTTTAAAAGAATACTTATCTTCATTTGGTTGACATCTAAAAAAAAGAAAGAAGCATTTGCTATTTTATTTATGTGTGTGTGGGGGGGTGTTTAAAGCTTCTTTTTGCTATAACTATTGCTTTTTTCCTCCTTTCATCAATGATTGACTTATTTTTTACATTTTTTAACTTAAAATTTTTTTTCAGTTATAGTTGACATTTAATATTGTTTTGTACTAGTTTCAGGTGTACAGCATAGTAATTAGACAATAATATACTTTACAAAGTGTTCCTCCTGATATCTCCAATACCCACCTGGCACCATACATAGTTATTACAATATTATTGACTATATTCCCTATGCTGTACTTTACATCCCCATGCCTGATTTGTAACTACCAATCTGTGCTTCTCAATCCCTTCACCTTTTTCACCCATCCCCCAACTCCCCTCCCCTCTGGCAGCCATCGGTTTGTTCTCTGTAACTATGAATCTGTTTCTGTTTTGTTTATTCATTTATATTGTTCTTTAGATTCCACACATAAGTGAAATCATATGGTATTTGTCTTTTTCTGACTGACTTATTTCATTTAGCATAATACCCTTTAGGTTCATCCATGCTTCACAAATAGTAAGATTTCATTCTTTTTTATGGCCTAGTAATATTCCAATATTAATGATATTACAATATTAGAGACATTTCGAAAATCATTTTAAACTGTGTTCTTTATAAAATCTTCTTTCAAACAGAAATATTGACAATTTATCTCTATGATGTCAGAAAATTATTTTCCGTAGATGGTTATAACGATAAAAGAAAGCAACAATGAAGGAACAGCACTCACCCTACTGATGCAGCACCCAAAAGAATCTGGTTGGTAGACAGCTGGATTGAAATTCCAGCACTTGGCATATTTTCACTTAGCAAAGAGGAGTTCTTCTCAGAAATCTGAACGAAAAGAAATCCATCAAAAAGTTCATTTAAATTGCTTCCTATGGTGGCATCAGACAAGGCAATAATAGTTATAGTTAAATGTATTGAAAATTTGCTGTATTCAAGTACTGCCCTGAGCATTATATGTACACCATCTCATTTTCTGTTCACAACAACTCCATACACTTTGAACACCTATTATTTATTATCCACATTTCCCAGATGTGTGAACTAACCTAACGCGTTCAAATAACTTGGCGAGGCCTGGACAACCAGGAGTGGGGCTGATGTTTGAGCCTGGGTCTGTCTGATACCAGAGACTATACATTTGGTCCTAATATTTCAGAAATCCCACTCCTTTTGTTCCTTTTTTAGCCAAGTGGAGTTAATTCTCATTTCTAGGTTAGTAAATCTATCTTTCAGGTTTATTTAATCCCTGGAAGCAACTAAGAGCTTCACCATCACCACCATCCAATCAGTGTGGGAGGAAACTCCATCCCTTCACCTAGGAACATTGGACTGGTAACTTAATCAACAGAAATGTGCATATGTACATAAGTGTTAATGTATAAATGAAGGAGTGGGCACTTTTAGAACTGGAAGGAACCCTAGAAAGATCAGATCTAGTGTCTCCAATGTTTTGTGGACACCTTCCTTCCCCTACCAGAGATGTGGTAGGGAGTTCATGTCTTTAAAGGCAGGTGGGCCTGGCCAGCATGGCTCAATAGTTGAGCTTTGACTATGAACCAGGAGATCATGGTTCGAGTCCCGGTTGGGGCACATGCCCGAGTTGCAGGCTCAATCCCCAGTGTGAGGCGTGCAGGACGCAGCTGATCAATGATTCTCTCTCATCATTGATGTTTCTATCTCTCCCTTCCTCTCGGAAATCAATCTATAATAATAAAAGCGTAATATGCTAATTAGACCAGATGTCCTTCCAGACAAAGCCAGGGCTGAGGGGGAAGCCCAGGTCCCCGGTGCCAGAGGGAAGCTGGTGCTGGCAGCCAGGGGAAGGAAGGCCTACTCTTGCACGAATTTCATGCATCAGGCCTCTAGTAAAAATATATTGAAAAATAAATCCCCAGTGTAAGGCGTGCAGGAGGCAGCCAATCAACAATTCTCTCTCATCATTGATGTTTCTATCTCTCTCTCACTCTCCCTTCCTCTCTAAAATCAATAAAAATTAAAAAATAAATATTTCCATCAAACAAATAAATGAATAAAACAAAGACAGATGGGGTCTGTTTCTACTTTAATCTTATATGAACCAATAGAGTAGTTCCCTATTATAATAGAATTTGAGAGCTGAGAAATATATATCAAGAGAATATGCATCATTGGTTAGCAACAATCAAAATATATGCTCATGACTCAGTCACGCAGAGGATTCATCACTCAGCCAAAATCACAGATTTTACTCTTAACGTTGCTTAAAATCGTTTTTATTAGGCATATATGGTTTAAATTATACACAATAAGTGAGCACTGATTAATGACAAGATGTATAAAAATTTTTCTGATTTTGATATACAAGTTAATAAGGAACATGAAAATAATGGTTCTATAAAATTCACCTAGAAATAATTTTCACTAGATTTATAAATTACATCTATTTTGTCAGAATTCTTATATAGCATTTAGCTTTTCTTTAGATGTTAAAAGATCATCATTAAATGAAAAATGATGGGCATATCCAATTAGGCTTTTCACTAATGAAGACTAAGTTCTATTCATAACCTTCATGAGTTGTTCAAGTAGAAATGCTTACAAACAATAGCCTGAAAATTTCCCTTATGCTTAATCACTTAGGAAGAAGATGCAAGAAACATATTATATTTTATTATTTAAATATGCAATTAAGATTTTAAATAACATGCTGAAGAAGAAATATTGATCTAATTTTGATATCATAAAATGTAATACAAATTTTAATCTATAATTTATGGTAATGCTGTTACAAAATCAAATGCAATATAATAACATTTTGGAATTAGTCAACACATATTTTTTCTTATAAACTTTTAAAAAAATATATTTTATTGATTTTTTAAAGAGAGGAAGGGAGAAGGATAGAGAGTTAGAAACATCAATGAGAGAGAAACATCGATCAGCTGCCTCCTGCACACACCCTTCTAGGGATGTGCCCACAACCAAGGAACATGCCCCTGACCAGAATCGAACCTGGGACCCTTGAGTCCACAGGCCGATGCTCTATCCACTGAGCCAAACCGGTTAGGGCTGATTTAAAATTTAAAACATGTTACTTAAAAATCACATCATAAACCATGCATAAATAATAAAGTGGTTTTTTTAAATTCACAATGGGTCTCATGAAATCATGTTTTACCAAAAAAAAAGATTTAGAAATATAAAAATGTTGACTAAGTTCAACTCCCTCACTTCACTAATAGAAAGGAAAGGTTGGGTGCTTTTTCCAAGAATGCAAACATAGATAGCAGCAGAGGTAGGATTACTACCAACTTGATTTCTTTTCATTGAATTAATGAACTCACTGGTATTTTTAACACTCCATGTGTTGCTATCCTTATGTTCAATAAGGAAAAACAAAACAAAATGAGGTAGACCAACCCTCAATAGTTTAGCGGGAAATAAATGACTGATGGAATTAACTCTTGAATTCCATCTTGTGTCTCATTCCTCTGAAGTGCCCGCTTCTGAAGGAAACAGCTAGAACTATAGCAAGAGACTGTCCCAAACCCCTATCTGCATGGCCTGAGCAAAATGAGTATTCCTTTAAAAGGCCCATGAAGCCTGATTCAGCCACCCACAACAGTCCTTAGCCCACAAGCGCACTTCCTAGAAAATAACGTATCACAATGGAAGAGAGAATTCTTGTCATCTCCAGAGGCTTCCCAACACCCCCCTCCCAATCCACCCCACCCCAGCTACACTGTGCAGGTAGTTCCCTGCTCCTGTTATCCATGAAAAGGGGTCTGAGTGGGTCCCTGGTGTGACCTAAACCAGCAAAGCCGCGCTAGGATGTCAAGCAGTTGGGGAAGCAGAAATCCCTGTCCTACGTTTGACTTCCGACTCCCAGCCCCTGGCACCTCATTGCTTTCCCTATTCTCACATGGGCTCAGGGCACGGGAACAAGACCACAAGGTTTTCTGTCCTGTAGGACTCAGTTTTGCAGCTTCGGAAAGATCACAACACTTGGTCCTGGGAACAGCTCCCCCACGTAAGAGGGCATGTGGACTGAGGTCACTGAGGGCTCTGCTATCTGGGCCAGGTGTTCTCCAGCTCTGCAGCTGATTCCGCCACAACATAAAGCTCAGAGGACCCCTCATGCCTCCTAATGCTCATGACTGGTGTGGGGCCCACAGCCACCTACTAATGGATGGAGGAGGGACTGAGGTCAATCCTACCACGGCAGAGTTTCTTACCTTATTTTTTGTTTGTTCTTTAGTCTTGCAGTGTTCCAATGCATGGTGTCTTACTTTTTCACACCTTTGAGCTCGAGGTGGCTGCAAAATAGCAGGTCTTAGGACATGTTCAGAATGTTTCAAAGGACCTTAACGGAACAGAATTAAAGAGTCAACATATCTTAAGTGAATGAAATACTTCTTCCTCCATATTTTTTGACTAATTTAATGATTATGATTAACTAATCAAAGTCAAAATAGCCAGTGAATTGCTTACTACTTACTTCCAGCCAAGATTTTACCCAATAAGTATTTATTTTGGCCATGGGACCTGGCTTATCAAATACATTCTTTCACGTTTTGTCACTCAGCCTTATCTCCATCCCCCCAACACACACACACACACAGATTAAAATATAGATGGTAAAATGTAATTTCTGAGGTTTTTGTAATAGAGAAACTACATACTTTGTTCTGCACTGTTCATGTCAACACTCCTTTGCACAATAGTTGGTGTCATAAAAACATTGTTTTTCTTCACTGTAAGAAAAAAAATATTTAGAAAAAATTAAGTCTAGGAGAGTGGGTCCATTTCTGTACGATTTGGGTCCTAACAGTCTCGCATGGAACTCACCAGTAGATGTCAGTGTCCGCACTAATAGAGTAGGAGGCAGTGCACAGGAGAGCGCTGACTACTAGAAATGCGTGGTGGCAGGATGAGTTGTGCTACACAGTTCTGTTCCTCTCATAAATGTAAGTGACAATTAGGTCGTTAACAGAATAGGCCATCTTTAGAATCATGAAATGGAATACTGAGGCAAATTCTACAGATTATAAAATCTAAATTGATAATGAACTCTTACAGAATGTTAAAAAATAGTTAGCAAATTCTGTCCCTCTCCCTACTCTAATAATACCTGGAGACAGAAGTGAAATCATTGCAATACATTATTCTCCTAGGAAGTGCGCTTGTGGGCTAAGACTGTGGTGGTGGCTACAAGTACAGAATTACTAGACATTTCAAAGTGATCACCTCCTGGTTGCAGAAACAGAAGCCTTAGAGCATTTGAGTAATGGAGATGAGAAAAGAATAAGAATTGCTTTTTCAAAGTATTATAACCTGCTCCAAATTGGGGGTAGAATTGCTTCTGTAATTCAAAATTCAATTAAGTGGTATTTATTATCTTCATTCTTGAATAGCAACAATGAATTGACCATATAAAATTATGCAATTTTTCTCCGTTGCAATACCACCAATATTCTGTACTACATACAAAGGAATGGTGCTTACTGATATAACTGTTTCTTTATTCATTCTTTCCTCTTTGTGTAGCTGACTCTTTTGGTCTGATTAAAATAAGAAGAATTTAGCAGTTAACTCGATAGCTCAAAGCCATCCCTCTGAGATTAGGACCCCATTCCTCTTACTGTCTGTAAGGTGTCAGTGAGGCTTAGAGGGCCTGCTGAGTTAGAAGCATCTCTTCTGTATCTGAAAGGTGTCTGACATATTGTTCTTAGTCATGCTTGGAATTCTTAATAAGAATATAAATTCACTAATTTGAATATGCGGTGGTTCCCAGGTACATGAGGATCAGTGAAAAGAAAATGAATAGTGTGTGTGTGTTTTTATTTCTAGTGGCAAGCTTAACTTGGAAAAGACAGTTGGTTGTTCAGTAGAAACAAAAACACCCAAGAATATAAATCATAATTTTAATGTAGAAAATGTTCCATCCAGTTCAAATCTTTAATTAAAATAAAATAGTTTTTATTAAAATAAATGTTTTTAGAATGCTTAGCAAAGCATTATACATTTCAAATAAAAAGGAAGTAATGTTTTAATTAATGAAAAGTACAAAAGGATTAATATTCTAAACTTTAAAATATAAATCTAAAGCATAAACTTTAGAATAAGAATCTAAAGCATAGTTGTATATTTTGTATATACAACTATCCTATATAATAAAACCCTAATATGCAAATCAACCAAGCAACCAGTCATTATGACGTGCACTGACCACTAGGAGGCAGACACTCAACGCAGAAGCTGCCCCCTGGTGGTCAGTGCACTCCCACAGGGGGAGCGCCTCTCAGCCAGAAGCCAAGCTCACAGCTGACGTGCACAGCGGTGGTGGCAGGAGCCTCTCCCGCCTCCGCAGCAGCGCTAAGGACCCCTCGGGGGATGTTCACCCGCCAGGTTAGGCCTGCTCGAGCCTAAGCCAGCAGGCAGACATCCCCTGAGGGGTCTTGGACTGCGAGAGGGCGCAGGCTGGACTAAGGGACCCCCCCCCTCCAGTGCACGAATGGCGTGCACTGGGCCTCTAGTATGTATTATAAACCATATACATGGAAAATAAGTAAAATAAAGCACGTTCTTTTATAGGGGTGCCATATACAGTATATTGCTATCATAAACATAAAATCCTTAAAAAAATCATCAAGTTCAAACTTTCTACCGAAAATAAACAGATATATTGTCTGGATTTGTAAAGTTCTTAAGGTATTCTTCCGTTCATACTTCGTTAAGACCTCTACTTTGTTTGCCACTAAAATGTCAGTATTTTATGGCAGCTGAGAAAGAAAGATCATCATAAAGGAAAATGGATTTGCAAAGGTCAGAGTGACAGGCTCAAGGTTCTAGAAACTCTTTGAGTGCTCACGGGGTTTAAGATACTCTATCAGGCATGACGATGATCTCAAGAAACTTACAGTGGAGGAGACAGATATAGCATAAATAGCTGTATTACAAGGCAGAAAGCAATGCAATCAACTCTAAAAGGAATCACCGGAGTGCGTTGAATGTAGAAGAGAGGCAAACGAAGTCACTGATTATTCAGAACACAGTACTATATGATGACGTTCTTAGAACAAAGTGTCTTTTTAAAAGGTGGACATCTTTTATTTAAGTAGGTGGTTGCTTCCGAGAAAATGGATGTTTTCCCTACAAAAACTAATACATACTTAAAGCAGAAACTTTGTAAACATAGCAAAATACAAAGAGGGAGCTAAAAAAACCAAACCACTCATAATCCCATTACCTGAAATAACCATTTCTAACATTGTGACTTCCGTCCTTTCAGTCTTTTTTCAATGTTGACCAATTGAATGTACTCACTGTATGGTTATATAAAAACAATCTGCTATTTTCATATAACCACATATTATAAGCACTATCCAGTGGGTAGACTTTTAAAATTATCCATTTGAAAAGTTTCTTAGAAATTTTATACTCAGACTAAACGTAACAGAGAAACACTCACAGTCTACACTATACCTACCTCCTTGGGACTGAGAATCTGTAGTTTGCAAAGAAAAAGATGAAGCCCGTATGCGCTTTCTTGAAAAACCATTACATTCTGCAAGAAATTCAATGTGAAGGGTAAAACTGCGTGCAATAACCAATTATCCTCAATTGATGATATGGGGGACAAATAGAATTTCCTTTTGTCTATACAAATTATCATTGGGTAACATGTTAATTCCTGAAGCACAATTTTAAATATTGGGGTTAATAGCTAGGTGATTATGAACTGATAATCATATCATCAGTTGTGAAACTATCAGACACAGTAGTTTCAGCAAGAAATTGCATATGAATTCTGAGATTGTATGAAGAATGTTTTTGGTACGTTGAAACAAAGGCAGTAGAGAATCATGGGATTTTAGAGTTGCTAACATCACTGATTTCAGGGACCCTCATGTCATCTCTCAAAACAACAGCCAGTCTACTTTCTTATTTGTTTCTAATTTTATTTTAATTTGAATATATTTTCAAATTTACAGAAAAGTTGTAAAAATAGTACAAAGGATTCTCATATGCCCTTCAATCAGATTCAGCAGTTGTAAACATTTTGCCTCATTTGATTTATCATTCTCGATTTACATACATATTTTGCTGAATCACTTCAGATTAAACTGTGTGTTTTATGTCCCTAACACCTAAATATTTCAATGTTCATTACCTTAGAATAAGAAAATCTCTCATATTATCCCACTATGATGATCAACTTCAAGAAATTTAACATAACATACAATATTCTTAACTAACCCACCAACCATAATTTTGTCCTTTGACTAATAATGTCCTTTGTAACATTTTCCACCCAGTGCAGGATTCAGCCCAGAATCATAGATAGCATTTGATTGTCACAAGTCTTCTGTCTCCTTTAATCTGGATTTTCTCCTCAGGCTTTCTTTGTTTTGAAGAATTTAGTCCTCATGTTTTAATAAAATATTTTTTCATTTTGAGTTTTTAATGCAGTTTGAACTACATTTTCCTGTTGAAATCTTTTTAAATTAAATTTATTGGGATAGCATCACTTAATAACATGATATAAAGTTCCAGTGTGCCATTTTATAATACGACATCTGTATACCCTATTCTGTGTGAGCACATAACACTTTCATGTTTAAACAAAAGAAAAACCGTCAAGTTTTACGTAGTCTGTGCCACATGCCAAAATGCTTGTGCCTGCTTACTAGTATGTTCTTTGTCTAAAGGTTGATTTTGAAATACAAGGTTTAAATCGTTACCAGGTTCCGCTGCCTCGTGCAGGGTTTCTTCCGCAGGCCTCTGGAAGGAAAGGAAGCTGCCAGTCAGAGTTTTCACACCAGACTTCTCCCCTGTCGCTTCCTAAGAGAATTCTCCAGCCAGGTCTCTTGGGCGAGGCCAGGACACAGCTGCTCACCTTACTCATGAGCATGCATTCAAGAGCGAGCCAAGTCCAGGAGAGCGGGCCCACTTTCCAGTGATGCAGAACCGCTGGGAGCTTCTGAAACTCCGACTCAGGATTCTGAGCGGCTGACCTGGGCTGGGGCCCCGTGAATCTGGTTTTTCAACAAGGGCTTGGGGGGTTAAGATTTCCTTAGTTAGTTAACTTTGGGGGTAGTGATGTACATTACCTGCGTAAGCAAGAATGAATAACAAGGAAATACTAACTAAGATAAAGTGAGAATACTGTTTGTCTTTTGAAGCAAGTATGATGCTGATAAAAAAGATAGGGTCCTTCAGATCCCTTTTTAAATCAAATATCGCAGTTTACAACTTATTTAATACTCTGTGTCAGGCTGGATTGGAGGAGCCTTAGCCCTTCTGATCTCTTTCAGTCCCTCCCACCCAAGTCACTCCAAAAATGTATAATTTAGTGGAAATTCAAGACAAGGTCACTGGCTTTCCATTGCAGCTAAATTGCTGTCGGTAAATCCCTCCTATATAAATATTCTGGAGGCACTACTCTGTAAGTGAAGAATAAGAAAATAAACGTATTCAGCAGGGATATATCATTTAGTGTAGCTAGCTTCTTTCAATATAATTTTCTTTGTCAAAGTAAAAATCAAACAAAAAAGTCACTTGATCTTACCTTAAAAGATTGCTCTCTTTTTTCAAAAACAAATATTGGTTGAGCAATGACAGATTTTTCTGTAAAATAAAAAGAACAGAAAAGAAATAAAACCATTTTTCGACATTTCTAATACCAACTAAAAATATTTGAAGATTTTGTTTATTTATTTGTATTTTCTTTCTGCCTTTGGGTAAAATCCAAACTGTTTTACATGGATGCTATAAATGGAATATTTATAAATAGTTTTAATAGTTAATTACAGAAATAAATACTTGGGGGAAAGTGACAGTAAATATATTTCCACAAATAGAGTGATCATCCCATTAAAAGAACATGTGTTAAGGGTTTAAGAACAACAAAATATAATTCCCTGCCTTCAGAATCCCACCAAGATAGAGTGATTAACAACTATACTTTTAGAATAAAAAGTTTCAAGGGGTGAAAAACCTCATTTGATAATAGTACTCCTCCTTGGATCAGATCTGAAGGTATAGATGTACTGCATTCCAGCTTTAAAAATGATCTAGAAATAATCCATATGTCCTTGACTAGAGTAGTCATATACTAAGAAATGCTTTCAATATTTAGACTAAGAATCAGTGTTAGTGTTATAAAGTAGCTAAAGTTTGTCCTCAGCCATATCAACCTTACTAATCTTTTATATTTTCCTATCTTAGGTAGGACAAAGGGAGAAACTCACTGACTCTAGGGTATAAATGGGTGATCACAGCTTTAAATATCAGCACTCCAGCATTCTCAGGGAAAATTATATGGTTCTTAAGAGCTTGGGCTCTGGAGTTAGGTAGGCATGTGTTCAAATACAAGTTTCACTACCAATTGGCTTTAGGAAACTGAATATGTCTGTACCCGTTTCCTCATCTGAAAAAAGAAAGATTATGACAGTACTTACCTCACAGTTTATGTGAAGATTAAATGGATTTTTAGATCTAATTATTACATTTTAATAAAACAAACAAAAAAGCCTCAAAAAATAGTAAATATGTGGCATGCCACCAACCCGCATTTCAAAACTCATAACCGACATGGCTAACTGATGACACACTTTCTTGAGGAGCCCAAATATGAGCTCAGAACTTTGCTCCCAGTAGGTTTCCAGGAGCCATTACCAACATTCCGTGCTGCCATACAGGCCGAGGTCACCTGGCACCCCCAGGCTGCATAAATCACCTCTAGCCGGGGCATTTCAAGGAACTACCACACCTTCAGATGCCAGAAAGGGTTCTCCAGCTCCCCACAATGTTCTCCATGAGAGAGTGTCACAAACTCCGCCAGACGACCCTTCGCTGAGCTCCTGGGGCCACGTGAAGCTGGATACCTTCTTTCAGCCCAACGACGTACACTACTCACTTCTTATGCCAGTGCTACTGCCCTGGCCGCCCTGGGAGCCAAGTGAGCCCCAGCACAAAACATGCACTAGCACACTGGCAATCCCGTCCACATTAGACTGTAGCTCAAGCCTTTGCTCTTTCTCCAACAAGCTCCTTTCCAGCAGTTACTTTAGATGTAAGAAAGGAGCTCGCCAGTGACTTTGAAAGGAAACTGTCTTTGTGGATGTGCAGGGGATACTTATGAAAACCAGCAATGAATGGGTCTTTTCTCAACTGGACCTGGATAGTCATTCTTAAAATAGCATGACTTGGCCTCAGCCAAGACAAACTACATCACTTTCCTTCTAGAAAACATTCAGCTTAACACAGGCAAAAGCCATCTTTAATGGCAGCATTAAGGAGGAAATCCCACAGGGTTACTCGCAGCCTGGAAGGCATATGGTAAAGTAAGAAGGCCCCTTTTATTAGTTAATTCAACAAATATTTATTGCACATCTTTTGTGTGCCAGCCACTGTGTTAGGACCCAGGCACACATTGTCTGATTAAAGATACATTAGCCTCAGGCAGCCGCCTGCTCAGCCTGACATGGTCCAGCACATTAGTTAGAAAGCAGATAATCTCCTACCCTCCACTTCCATCTAAACTTTCTCCCTCTCTCCCACGCATTTATCTGGGCTCCAAGACAAAGACAAAGTAAGCATTGATCAAGCCACTGGGTTCATACCAGCTTTCGCACCTGACCCAGTAGGAAAACCCTATATAATAAAAGGCTAATATGCAAATTGTCCCCTAGGGAGTTTGACCAACCTGGAGTTCAACTGCTCGCTATGATGTGAACTGACCACCAGGGGGCAGCACAGAATGAAGGAAGGCCCCTATCAGCCCTGATTGCCGGCCAGGCCTAGGAACACTACCCATTGCCGGCCAGGCCTAGGGACACTACCCATGCACCGGGCCTCTAGTTTGAAAATAAAAGCAAAGTCCTTGAAATTATATTTTAAAAATTTTATCCTTTATTATTTATAATGTATTTATTATTCAAGCCATTTATCTAACAAATATGTAGTGATGGATGACTGTGTATGAGATAGTTTGCAAGGTGAGAGAGAGGACAGTGGTACAAGAGGAGGCCAAAGACCAGGTTGGAGCTTTGGGAAGCCTTGTAGGCTGAGCCAGGAGTTCTGTTTTCATTCAAAGAAAAAATGGGAAGCCAGTAAGAGATTTTACTCTGTGGAGTGATTCACTGGGATATGCATTTGTTTTTTTAAGATCACTCTGCCTGCTGTGTGGAAAGGGGGCCAGAGGGAGAAGGACTGAGAGAGAGGAAATAATTAAGAGGCTAGGCTAAATTCCAGAAGAGACCTGGCCAGGTTGCTCTTTGCTTCTTTGATCATCTTGCATCTCTGATGTTTTGAGGCAAATGGAATAATTAAAAATTTAAAGCTTCTTTGATCATCTTGCATCTCTGATGTTTTGAGGCAAATGGAATAATTAAAAATTTAAAGTACAGTCTTCTGTTAAGAGGAATGAAGATGAAAGAATGGGGAGGAGAAACTTAAAAACTTAAGGATTAATTTTGATGTTTTGCCTGTTTTAAGGTTCATATAACATTTAATGAATCCCAATATTCATGGTTGTTTTCTAAACTACTTCATTATGAGAAGAAAGATGTTCATTTATCCCACACATATATTTAAGTACCTGTTATATACAAGAAAGGACACAGTGTACTATTGATATAACTCAACCTCAGTTCCCCTGTCACTCTGCTCCACAATGGAAGCAAGCAGTGGGCGAAGATCTTTTATCCATCATCGTGTCTACTTTAATTAATCACTCTGTGGGTTAAATATGCTTTCCACCATATTTACAGATGTTTACTTACTAGTACAGGTGGAGAAACGAAGGCTCTAAGGGATTTGCTCAGTCATGCACTAGTAAGTGGCAAAACCACTAATTAAACCCAGGTCCCTCCTACAAATTATTGATTTTAACTCCCACCTGTCATACTGTGATATCTGATACAACCTCACCTGTAAGATATCATGTTCTACATGTATAATATGTACACTGTTGGCACCAAGAAAAGAGAGAGCAAAGGAAGGGGCAAGGAGGAGACTGCTGCTTTTTCCCAAAAAAACACCTTGTAGAACCATTTGATCCTTCAAACCATATGAATAAGTAGAACTAATATACTTTTTAAAAATAATCCCTTCCTACTATAGTGTCAGACACCCATAATTAAAGGACAAATCTCAAGCCCCTTGCCCAAAATAGACTTCTTCTTGAATTGCACCACCTAGCAGGCAGGCATCCACTATCTTCTTTCTTGGCAGATTCCAGAATGATGGAAATATCTATCTATATAAAAGCCTAAGCGACAGAATGACTGAATGACTGAACTATTGATTGACCAGTTGCTATGATGCACACTGACCACCAGGAAGCAGACACTCAATGCAGGAGCTGCCCCCTGGTGGTCAGTGTGTTACCACAGCCAACCTCCATGGCCAGCCAACCTCCTGTGGTCCCTCACCCCAGACTGAGCAAGACGGCCCCATTGGCCCCGATCTTTGGCCAGGCTAAGGGACCCCACCCAAGCACGAGTTCGTACACTGGGCCTCTAGTATGGAAATAAAGGTGTGAACAAGATGGATTCACTGAGTTCAGAATGCATGTCTGAGAGGCAGCTCATGTTCTTGCCCTTCACCTTTATTGCAAGTACTCCTCCAAGTCTCCAGACAAGCATTCAGCTAGAAACTTATGCAGATATGTAAGAGCTTAGTTCTTCAGGATTCTAAAGTGTGAATAGTAAACATAAATTTCCTTTTCCCCCTATGCTCACATGTTCCACAATTTCCCCCAAATTTGGGGTGGGTGGTAAGGTCTTGTCCCTCCTCTCTTTCACTGGCACTCAGTCTCTGACAAACAAACCAATTTCATGGAGGAAAGTAACTGGAGGGTTTTCTTGAGGAATCATCTCAATGGAGGAGGTTTGAAAGGATCTACTG